ATGCATGTTTTTTACCTATAATGAATATTTTCTTTAGTCAAAACTGATAAAGCTAAAAAAGTTCAGCTAAGATTCTTTGTGGTCTCCAGTACCTTCTCTTGACCCTTAAAAGCCATTTCTTTGACGTAAACTCTGCCATCAGAAGAAACAAAATGTTAAGAATTAACATTCTTGTGTTTTGTAATTAGAGTTTGTAATTGAAACTAGAGTTCTTAATTCCTGAATGAATCTAGTATTCTGAGACCACATGTACCCCATAAGAAAAATGCTTGTGTCTCTTCAAAGAAAGGAATTAGCAAGATTGCCTCACTTAGTTATCCTCACATAGTGGAGTCTCCCGTTCCCCTATTTCAAACCGAACAAATAACAAAGAGTCTAAAACCTACTTGCTCCTGCAGCATAAAAATGATGGCATGATTACTATTTTCAATCCTATATGCTGTAGCTTTGCAAGAATATAAAAGATCTATTAAAGTAAATTGAATGATGAAGCTGCATATAGACAAGTGGCATCAAGGCCCTGGCTGTATATTAAAGTTATTTTTTTAAATTGCAGTACTGAGGAGAATGCCAAATATAATTTTATTATGACAATGATAACAAAGTATTATGGCTTTTCACCTAACATGATGTACGTTGCATAGCAACCCATTTAGATGCCTTCCCATGCCATACAGCGTTTCCTATGACAGTTTCAAAGATTGTGGAAGGCCTTTTTAGAAATGACAACTGCTTTTTGAAAAATGCCAAAAATTACTCCAAGCCCTGTGCTCTACTCCCCGCGGCCACAGGAGGGCATTCTTTCCCCAAAATATGTGCAGGCAGGTATTAGCCCTAATTTCTACAAACGGAGAAAGTGTGTAAAACTGCTCATGAGGTTCTTTGTTTACATGAATGTGCTTACATTAATGATTGTTTCTAACAGGATATTTTTCCCTGGTTTCGAATTTTATAGGATGCCTGTCAGTGGATGGACAACCAAGACTGGATATATTGTTTGAGCAAATGGCTTTTGTCTTGTTTGGGTTTTGCAGTTAGAGTCCTCTAACAAAACTGTTGGTTCCTTATGTGTCTTCCATAGGGTTTTTTTGAAGAAGAAGAAGGTAAAGAGTATATTTATAAAGAGCCTAAGCTGACGGGTCTCTCTGAGATTTCCCAAAGACTGCTCAAACTATATGCAGATAAATTTGGAGCAGACAATGTGAAGATAATCCAGGATTCCAACAAGGTAGAGGGGATTTAGTATTCATGCAAACAGGAAGAACTGATTTAAGTTTGTATTTTTAAGTTATACTTATTTTTTATTTTACGCCAGATTACACAAAGTAAACCACCTACACTTAGCTCTTTTGCTTATATGCTTAAGGGTTGGTCAATTGGTTATTTTATTTTATTTGTTGGTCAAAGGCATTATATGTGTGTATTTGAGTTAACTTTTAGGTAATCTTAGAAACAATCCACTAAATTCTCCATCTTGCTCGCATAGGTTGTTTGCATTTGAAAAGCAATTAAAGGGTTAAAATGATCAGCGCCAGTGGTGGACTTGGAGGGAAGAGTAAAACATTATTGATTCAGTCATGGAGGTCTTCCTGAGTCATGCCAATTTTGAAACCTATCCTCTGTTAGAGTAGACTTGCCAATTACATTGTATTAACCTGTGAACATCCAATTACCTCCTCATGGCTCCAGAAAGCAAATGCTTGCATCCTCTGATTAGATTAATTAGAATCTGCTGGTAACACTTTCATTTAGCCAAACTCTATTAAGCACCTACTGCATGTCAGGCCCAGAACTAGGACCTAGTGCAGTCTTCTCCTTGCAGAGCTAGCTGTTCACATGAGGCAAAGGAGAGAAGGATGCATGCAGACAGCTCATTAAATAGAGGGCAATAAAGTACCATGGGTGACATGGCATAAGTCATACAGGGAGAACTCAGGGCTGGGGACTCCCTGAACACCTCGTTCTTGGCTGGGCAATGCTTCACAGAAGGGCGGTGTTGGAGATGGGAACTGTGCAATGAGAAGGCATTTGCTCGGAGCAGAGGCACTGGGAGAAGCCCAGCACATGGAATGCCAGGGTGCCGTGAGAGGGGGAGGTGTGTTTAGAGAGTGGCAAATCTTTGAAACACAGGTTGGGTAGAAGAGGGTGGCAGAAGATGGGGCTGGAAAACCTGGTTTGCACCTGACATATAAGCCTCTGTCTTTCTCCCTGTCCTCTTTCCCAAAGCTGGTATTTGGAGGGGTCTGGGCATGAGATTCCTGGGTCTGGGCAGAAGCTGTTACAAGTGTGTTCATCATTCTCCTCCTTAGCTTGAAAAGTAAAACCCCCTTCCCTGTAAAAGTGGACAGAACTGGAACTGCTGTCACAGCGCCTGTCCTACATAGGAAGTACAGACCAGGTTCCCAGGGGGATGGCAAAGGTGTCAATCTGGTGTCAGAGCAACTGCGTCTTCATTCCACCGTGTACCACCAAGCAGCTGGCAATCCATCTTGTGAAATTGGGTGGCTGCTCTGAATCTCCATTTTTTTAATACATAAAATGGCTACACTTACACTCATCTTACAGTATAATTATAAGGAGCATTATGAATAAGTTTAGGGGCTTCTTCGAATCTCTGAAATTGGTTCAGCAGAGGATTTGTAGTCAGAGGGAGAAAGTAAGGAAAAGTTTGAAAATTTTTCAAGGAATCATTCGCTGAGAATCATCGCTTTCAACCTTGAAGAACAGCAAGAGTAATTCCCTGGCTTTTCTGACCCCCCAACCTGACTTCCTTGCTGTTTGTCAAGCCTGTTCACAAAAGCAGTTAGTAAAGAAATTATGTGGAATGGTAATAGAAGGAATGAGACAAATTGAAAAATAGAAATATTCGCAGTCATGTGACAGGCTAATTGTCTGCTAAGCAAACCAGGAACCTCCTTCTACACACAATCCCAGAGCCGACAGCCCTACATCCTAGAGGGACAAAGAAATAAATTTCCAGCCTTAAGAAGCTTGTATTCTAGACAGAGGTGAGGATATTCATTATAGAAGAGAAAGAAAATAAATGATAAAATAATAGGCCACAACCAGGTACTTAGGTTTCAAAGTGCCCCAGCCACTTGGTGAGCTGGCTCCAATCCCACCTCTGCCACCATCAGGGTGCCTGACCCCAGCCCAGCCAGGTGCTCTTTCTGTGGTTCCAGCTACACCCAGCTCTGAAATGATGATGCCCATTTTTCCCCCAGGGGAGAGGGGCAGCCCCCTCAGGATGCCTGCTGAGGGAATGATACAGTTACAATATGCAAGTCACAAGTTACCCTTTTTTCTGGAGCACTTTATGGCTCGCCACCCTTTCTCTCACCATGATGTGTTAACACAGGTGAACTCCAAGGACCTGGACCCCAAATACGCCTACATCCAGGTCACCTATGTCACGCCGTTCTTTGAGGAAAAGGAAATAGAGGACCGGAGAACAGATTTCGAAATGCACCACAACATCAACCGCTTTGTCTTTGAGACGCCCTTCACGCTGTCGGGCAAGAAGCACGGTGGGGTGGAGGAGCAGTGCAAGCGGCGAACTGTGCTGACAAGTAGGTGCAGGGGTACGGCGGCCGAGGGGGTGCTCATTCCAGGGCAGGCCCCTTTGTTAGATGGGAGTCGTGGGGACCAAGACGGTTCAGTCCCGCAGACAGTACCCAAAATGTGCTCGCTTGGAAAGGTCTGTCAGGAAGAGCAGATGTCTCCTTCTTTAGCTCTATCAAGAGGGATACCCTTGTAAGGTCACCCAGAAGAGAAATGGCCCGTGGAGTTACTTTACTCTTCCCTTTAGATCTTGAGTCATACGGGTGGTGGTGTCCGTGTCTTGGGAAAGGGGCTCTGAACTTACTGTCCCTCTCCCTGAACCCTCCGTCAGTTACCACTAGGCCAGCAGCTCTCAGAACTGTGTGCTCTGGGACGAGATTCTAAATCCCTCAGGAATTTCAGGTTCCTCATCTGGGAAGTGAAGGCAGAGGGTGACCTCCAGCACCACCCCTAGAACCATCTGGATCTCTGCTATGAGCTGGTTGTCCTTTCATTTATTGAACAAACATTAAATGAATGAGTGTCTGCTAGGTACTGGGCACTGTTCTGGCAATTCACATAAACGAAACATGATTCTTGCCCTCAAGGGGCTCACGGGCTGGTAAGAGAAAGCATCAAGCAAAGCCAGCATTTCAGGTGAGCACAGCATGAGAAAGGAAACGGCAGCATCTGGGGGGAAAAGCTGAGCAAAGGCATTCTGGACGGGGGATAACAAAACTGCTTGGAGAGATGAGCGGTCCCATATTACGCAAAAGCTCTGTGAAGAGCGGTGACATCTGATGATAGGAAACATTCATCTTCAGTAAACTTCTCCAGAACTTTTGTAATAAAAAGAAAAATAAGAAAAAAGCTATTAGAACATATGCTATTTAGTACCTACTGCAGCATTCTTTGTTGTGCTGAGTGTAGTTCTTAATGGAATTACAAGTTGTGGTAGAAGCTATTATCTTTTCAGCCTTTAGAGACTATAAAGGTCTTAATCCAACCCAGAGCATGAGGACACGTTGCTGGTGAGGTGTGGCAGAGCATGCCAGGCGAACGTAGCTGAGGCAAAAGCTAGGAGAGGAGAAAGTGTGCGGCATGTAGGAGAAAGAATAACTCACGTATACGAAGAACATGCAGGATGGGACGTGCTATGTGCAAAAAAATGATGCAATATCATCTGGACCTTCAGGGGAGCGCTTGACTCTTCACTAACCCTCAGCCTCAACCCTCTGGTATTGCTTTTGTGCAGCGAGTCATTTGTTCCCATATGTGAAGAAAAGAATCCAAGTCGTAAGCCAGTCGAGCACAGAACTGAATCCTATTGAAGTGGCAATTGATGAGATGTCCAAGAAAGTTGCTGAGCTTAATCAGCTTTGCACAATGGAAGAGGTGGACATGATCAGACTGCAGCTGAAACTCCAAGGCAGTGTCAGCGTGAAAGTAAGCATTGCCCAGAGCTGAGATGCACGTGGTCAGTGGAGCCTGGCATAAATAAATGCCCTTGAAATTTTTTTATTAAAGGTTTAAGAGACATGTGTTCTGTTTGTGGTACCAACACACTTACAGAGTCTTACAATTTTGTCTTGTTGTAAATGCATGTTGATGGTGCCAGATACCTGGAGATAAGCCTTTCTTAAGTTTAGCTGAAATGAAATTTCTTCCTCTGCCCTCCTTTCCCACCTGGATAAGCTGTGTTCTACATTCTATATCCTAACATATGAATGAATGAATGAATGAATGAATGAATGAATGAATGAATGAATGAGCAAACATGGCTCTCTCATTAAGAGCCTTATAAACCTGTTCAAAAACTATTTTTAAATGTATATTAGCTCATAAAGCATGCACCATTATTTATCTGACTGTCAGGGTCCTGATAGGAAGTAGACGGCCTGCTCACAGTGGATGATTAAGGGCAGTGTAATAAATAGGCTATTTGTAAAAGCATCAGCAATATTTAGGGAAAACAACATAGGCAGGTACAGGATGTAGCTACACTGAGAGGCTCTCACCCTCTGTAGACCTGATGCTCAGGGAGGGAAAAGCTAATGGAAGCAGGGAGAGAGCTAGGACGACAGACAGACAGATAGACCCAGACCAAGGACAAAGTGGCCTCTGTAAAAGGACTGCAAGGAGGAAGCCCTGGGGCTAAATACCCTAACAGGGCTGAAACTAGGGTGAGGCGAGTCAGGTACTCACCCTGGGCACAAAATTCAAGGGAGCATCAAAAAACTCAGTAATCAAGATCAGATAATATTTAATGCCGTACTTTTTAACATCAGAAATAACTCCAAAAACTCATAATGAACAAAGAATTAACATGTTAAATAAAGGTAGGCCAGTAACAGAGCCACGAGGAGCTATTTTGGAGCTTGAGGCAAAAGGAAAAATCAGCAATCTTGATGCTGATACTGAGCTGGCTCCCCTCGGCCCCACCTACCTCTTGTCAGTGTCCCCATGACCCACTCAAAACAATTATCGTAAGAAATTTGTAGAAGCCAGAAGGCAAGAGAACCATTGTTATACTCCAAATGGGACAGCTTCCCTAGCACATAGTTGTGTAAGGGGGAGTGCAGACTGGATCTAATGAAGCAAAGGAAAGCATCCAATATCATTTATTCGTTCTTTCATGCTGGCAATACCTGGCGGGCATAGCTACCTGAAGACAGTTCAGCTGCAGTATTAGCTTCCTTCTTCTTTAGCTTTTTCCTTCCAAGTCCCATGGTCACAGTAAAGGCCTATAAAGAACATGGACCCCTTGACTAGGGTGAGCCTTCTCGTGTGCGAGCATCGATAGGACCTGGCGTTGTGCATTCATTTGACAAATCTGATACACGCCTCCTTGGGCCAGAATCTCAGCCAACCTGTCAAGTTGAATACAGTAAAATAGTGATTCCCCAGATGGTTCCTACACCACTACCACTGTGGAATGTCTTTTATTCATAGTTATGTGTTTACTTTAATGTTAGTAGAAAAAAAACTGGCACATCAAAAATTTGATTTCACAGATATTAAATTTGTTTAAGTAAATAAAAGTCAGTCTAGTTTTTCAAGATATTTAGAAAATAATAGTGCAAGCAGAATGTGGATATTGCAAATACATGAAATGGGGAGCAAATGACATACAGTTTGGGAAGAATGGCCTTGAAGGATGGAGTTCAGATGTATCCTTTAGTAGCTGATCAACTGGTTGGGACGGCAGACAAGACAGATAACAAATTAGTAGACTACAAGACAGTGTGGGAGAATTGGGCTACCACATGATTGGGGCTACTCACCTGGTTATGGACCAGGCTCTACAGAGGAGACAGGGTCATCCTCAGCCACCTGTCCTCTCCCCAACAGGTTAATGCTGGGCCAATGGCCTATGCACGAGCTTTTCTGGAAGAAACCAATGCAAAGAAATACCCTGACAACCAAGTAAAACTTTTGAAGGAAATCTTCAGGTAAGCTTCTCTTTGCTAGAAAGTTCTTCCTTGGCCGCCTTTGGACAGGGAGTCATGACTTCCCCAGGAAGCCACCTGACCAACCATCTTCCAGGGGGCAGAGTCTATCAACAGCCTGACTTTGAGTTGTCACTTGCTATGGCTGGTTGTTGATTTTCTTATTGCTGTCACTAAAGGCAATTTGCAGATGCATGTGGGCAGGCCCTTGATGTGAATGAGCGCCTCATCAAAGAGGACCAGTTGGAGTACCAGGAGGAGCTGAGGTCCCATTATAAGGACATGCTCGGCGAGCTCTCTGCCATCATGAACGAGCAGGTGAGGATTCCCTCGGGTGGCCCTGGCTGTCAGTTCATGGAAAGGGTCCATTCTATTCCCCATACCAGAAGGACTAGAGAGATCTCTATTCTTGCTGCTGAAATCACTGTACCTTACATGAACACCATGTTACTGAGTTGCCCTCTCTCCCATACAGCAACCCTTGCCTCAAAACAGAGATAAATTGGGGGGAAATATGTAAAAAATGAGAACCCAGATATTTTCTACAACTTTCAGAGATGTTTACCCAAACCATACAAACTGTTGGCTTTTTAGAACAAATGGCTCTATTAGAACACCTAGGAACACTGGGTGACGTTCCCGCTGGGGCTTGATGCCACCTGCCGGCCCTGATTCAGGACCTCACAACCCTGAGGCTGTGACGTGGGGTTCCACAGTCCTGCCCTAGGGGTCTCCGCACCGAACTCAGGACGAACACCAGTTCTGGGGCCATGGCCTTCTAAGGGGCTACTTCTGAAGAGGCTGGGCCTCCTGAAGACTTGCAGAATTGGGATAAAACTCAATCTACCACCCCACAAGCAAGTCATCCATGATTTCTGACACAGATCCAGCACATTCTGTAAGGCTGAGCATAGAATCTAAACATTTACTAATCACAGTATTTTTTGAGGTGCTGAGAATCAAGTAGTTCAAAGCCAGGAGCTGTTTTTTTGGCTTCCCAGCCACCATCAACCCCCACATTCTAGCTGGACATCTCATCACCCATGGTCTCCTCCAGGAAGGTGTAGATGTGTTCTCTACAGAATAATTGAGAGGGAGAACTTGAATTAGTCTCCTAATAGTGCTTCATGCATAGTAGCCACTCATTAAATATTAGCTCCCCTTTCTTGCCTAAACTGGCCCAGCACTGTCAACACTACTCACAAAGCATGAAATGTGTCATACGCATCATATATTCTAACTGCATTACCCATATATGTTTCTTTTTTCTTCTTTTCCATCTCCTTCTATGCACATTTTAAACTCTCCATAGTAGCTGGAGAAAGAAATGGTTAATGACTTATGTTGGAAAGAATTCATCTCCCTGGATGGGATTCCTAGGGGAAATGCTGGTTTGGGATTATTAAAGACTGATGGGAATTAAATGCCCAGGAGTGATGGCTCAGATGCATGGGGAAATCATAAATCTGAGAGTGAAACCAAAAGAACAGTGGACCTGAAAATTGGAGAAGGTGGTGAAGAAATGCTGGTTTGCAACTGTAAATTGTATCTGACTTTAAAACTTTGTGCAAAAAATGCTTTTCTCTTTTTTTTCCTGGCAGCTCTGTCGAGGTCCATATTTATACAGCTTCTGTCCTTCTGTGTCTAGTATTTCCCTCAGTACTGTAAGCAAAAGTGGTATGTGCTTCTCTCCTTATGTCTACTCTGTCCTTTGTGGCCTTCTAGTCTACCCACCTCTTCCTAGCTGTTCATTGTCCCCAGACACCTCCATAGTGGCTTCTGTTCTCTAAGTGTTTACTTAATTAGAACAACTTTATTTCCATTTCGAGGTAGGTTGATATAGGGGGGAAAAGAGCCTGAAGTTCAGAAGTTAACAACTTAGCTTTTAAAAAGAATATTCATACTCTACAACTTCTAAAGTGTATTTGAGCTCATTATGATCCAAAACTAAGACTGACTATGTACTGAAGTCTAATACAAAAGTACAAGGACAATCTCCCCAGGTGATGCAGGGGAGAGAAAAATAATTTCTTTCCCAGAAAACCTTTGCTAAAGGAAGCAAAATTGGGCTCTATGCTCCCTGGAAACTGATGCAAAGAAAAGAAACTGATGAATTGTGCAGGTCTTGCTATTCAGTGAAAGAAATAGATCTGTTGGCAGGAAAGGTACTTTCTGCAGGTCCTGAGAGTCTATGGAATTTTGTCACATAAGTCTTTATATATAGACAGTGACCACAACATACATGGTATCTTCGGAAAAAGTTTTCGTTAAAAAGAATTTATTATATGGCCATTCCACATTTCCACCTTAAAATAAGGACAAAACATTAACTTCTAACTTCATAGAGGAGAATCTAGAGGTGGAACTACTTAATTGATAATTATCAATTAAAATTGTCTGTAGCAAACCCGTTATCAACAGCAAAGTAAGTTATTTTCATGACAACCATTGGTAAGAGTTCTGAGTTGTAATAACAATTTTCTTAAAATTAGGAATAGCTAGCAAAGGATAAAGGTCTGTAAAATATTTAAAATGTAAGTATTTCTCTCAGTTCAGATTTATAACAAAAAAGTTTTTCTTCTTTTCTCAAATTTTTTTTAAATAAAAAGATGTATAACCCTAATGTTTGGGTTTGAACTCTAGTGGAGGGAGGGGTAGTCAAATTTTAGCATAATCCTGTAATATGTGAATGAACCATGACCTATATTGCATAAATATCTGCACATACTTATATGCTCACTCATACATTCTGGAAATAAGCATATATGTAATTACAGTGTAAAGAAAAGTTCTACCACTGAAATAGAAATAAAGTTACAATGGATAGAGAGAAATAGAAATAGAATTAATTATGAAATCATTCCAAGAGTGGCCAGCAAGTCTCAGTTAAAAGGATATCTGAAGCCCCTGTACTTAGTGAAAGACCCTTCAGGATAAGGAAGGAGATGGAACAGGATAAACTGGATGCTAATGGAGATGCTGAGGTGAAGCAGTTTGAGTTGCTAAAGTGACAGGCAGGAAATAAATACCTTCATAGGCAGCCAGAATGCTGCACTGTTTTATAAACAGACAGAAAACATAAAAGCATCCTTGATGGAGATAAAAGTAATACATATAAGTGTCTGGATGAAACATAAATATAAGATGCTTATTTTGGGCTCTTTCAACATATTTACAGGAATGACAGCATAGTCAAGTCAAGGGCAGTAATGGATATCATATACAAAATACAGAGAATTTAACCAATCTACTCTGTTAATGGTGCCAGTTAGACAAGATGCAAAAGCATAGGCCCTTAGAGTTTTAGATACTCTTTGGAAACATTATTTGCCAAATATTTAAGCAGAACTTGTAACACTGAGCATAAAGAGAATTTATTGGTAGTATAGGGGACTTGGGGACTGGATGCTCTGTGGGGACAGAAGAGGAAATTCTATCTTGGAAGATTTAAAGCATGGTCACATGTGAAGTTGGTGGGACAATCTTCATAACTAGAAATATAAAATATTCTTTAAGTCCCTTTTATACAGAGATAGATTTTAGAGAAGTCTGGGGTTTCTGTTAACTGTGTTTGCATATTATTATTCAAACAGATCTGACAGCTGAGTATTATTTAGGCATATTAAGATTATTTTCAAAAGGAAAATCAGGTCAAGGGTCTTTTTTTTTTATGTTTCCATTAATGCAAACATTTAAACAAGACTTCAGATGTTTCCCTTTTTTGTAGATTTTGACAGTAAAATTACAAACTTTTAGAATAAAATGAAATTCTGGAATTACCCAGATACATTCATAAGGTTCATTCAAACATTTGTAAATTTATATCTGATAGTTGAAAAATATTGTGACGGTCTCAATCTTGCCAAAATGGCTATGACATCGGTTTGGGGAAAAAATTCTTCAGATCTTCAGTGCATTTTCAAAATGTGCAGATCCCCTTTGGGGAATTTTTTAAAAATCACTGTTTGGGGTTTTAGTTTTGTGTTTGGAGATATTAACATGAACCCCTCTGTGATCTCTTTGTTTTCTCCTGGTTTAAGATTACCTGCAGGGAAGACCCTTCAAAGCACGGAGTGGAGCGCACCTGCCCTCGAGTAATTAGCAGGGTGACCCCAGCTCCGCCCACCATCTCGGTCTCACCTGGTGCGGAAGTTTGAGGAAGATCCGCCCTGTCCGACACACCTCTAAGAGAACTATCAGAATTTGTACCTAATCTCGGGGAAGTGAACGTTTTAATTTATTTGAAGTTTTTATGGTGTTAATATGTTTTTTTTTTTACCTCGCTAGCTTGAAAATCTTGCCAGCCTTCGGATTTGCACATTTCTTAGTTTTTTTTTCTTTGAGTAGTGTTGATCAAGCCGAGCTGAATATTTGCCATGAAATCCCAATGAATGTGTAGCTCAAAAGCAAACCCTAAATTTGCTGTCAGTTACAATATGTTCAAAACCAAGTCCTAGTACACATATTTTAAAGGTCAAAGTGAATGTTTTTGTAACATTTAAGCACATTTCCAATGTAAATAGAAGATTGTAAAAAAAAAAATACGGTTTTTACCAAATTTAAAAGAACCTTTTTAGTTAATACTTATGACAGTGCTAAAATTATATGAATAACATTTCAGATACTGTTATGTTAAAGTATTTGTGTATGTGTACAAAAGTGTTGATAAAAACTAATCTTTAAAGTTTGTGGAGTTCTTTTATTTGTAATATATGTGCTCTTTAAAGCAATGGGAATGGGAAATAATGAAAGTATTTTGTTGTTCATAGAAATAAAAAATACAGTTACTTTGCGCTTGGTTCCCTCTTGAAGAGTTGGGTGAGTTGCTACTAACAGTGGTTAGTTGGACTGGATGCCTACTGAATACAGTCCTACACTCACTTGGGTGCCTTACCAATAAGTCAGGGAAAGGATTTGAACCTCTGCTGGGCAGCTCCTC